TGCAATTTAACTGATACAGTGCAAATGAAATCACCAGGCACAGGAATTCATGCCAACAGCAACAGAGAAGGGATCAGCTCTAAGAGGCAGGAGATGGGTTTTAATATTCCTAGTGGTGGAGAAGAGGCATGTCCTATTCTAAAGACTAGTCTTAGCAGATCGATGATCGGCAGATCAATGTTTAGTGAATTTGCTGGTACTAGAAATTGTCTCTATTGCAAAGACAGTATAAAACAATCTGGAATACGAACTGGGAGGAGCCCTCTGCTAGCTCTTTGTAGGATCATAGAAAATTAGGGTTGGAAGAGATGCACCTCTCTTATCTCTTGGCTCAGTCATGCTGACCAGCTGTTTGTAATTGACCTTTGCTGTGGAATCTAATGCAAAAGGAAGTGAAATATGTTTTCCTTCTAAATGTTTATATAAACAGCAAGGCTGGGGTTGGTTTGAGAGTGGACTAAGCTTTCTTGCTCTAAGGGATAATTCCCAAGCATAAGTCTAGCCCTAGGAACCAGTCTTTTTTGCTTCCCCTGTAAGGAGTGGAGCTGAACAGACCTCTCTAGAGGACAGTGGACACCAAACTTACGTTCTCCGAAGCGCAGCCTATAGGCACTTCCCTCTTTAGTGGCCACAGTGGCAGCCGTGGGAGAATAGCCCTATATGCCCACATTGGGAATCAGTGCAGTTTAGCTAATGCACTGATTTAATTTTAAGCTCACTTTGCTGTGAGTTCACAGCCTAGCAGCCCTAAGAGGCTGCATCTTCTGCTGACCCTACTGTTTCTTGACTGAGCATCTGTCTTCCCTCCTCCTAAATGCAACCATCCTCTTTCATCACCAGCTCACCCCCATTTTAAGGCTTAGGCTAAAGGAGTGCCAACCAGCTGAGATTCATCTGGCCAATAGCAGTCCTCTACAGGCAGACTAGTTGTTTAAATTCTCTGTGTAGTTACTAGAAAGGGACTTCTAAGACACGACTCATCTCATCCTAAAGGGGCTATCTGCAATCTGGTAGATGATCTGCGCCCTAAAAATGCTGCCTTCTCTCCACTGGCTCCGAAGGGCATCTGACTTGACAGTGTAGGTGGCTGAAGTTAAGCAAGATGAGTCTTGCGCCTATCCTGGATAGGGAAACCAGGCTGGGGACTTGGACTGCACATGTGGAATTGAAAGAGCAAATGTTAGGAAAGAGGGAGAGTGTTTCATGAGAGAGGGAAAGGGATGAAAACTAGCCCGGGCATAGTGTAGAGAAGGTATAAAGCAGAGGATGGGGAACATTGTTTTTCTTACTCTGTTTTTTTTGAGTGTTTATCACTTTCTTGGTTCTGTGGTAAAGCCACCGAGCTTGAACTCCTTTAAGGCAACCACTGCACATAATACGGCAGCAGAATACACAGTTTCTGGCTTTGAAAATATCATATTTGAAGAGCCTTGTTTTGGTGTGTGACATTTGAGTTTTGAATAGGGCTAACTATATTTTGCTTACATCTGTGATTTCAGTAACACTTGCCTCTTCAGTATTTCCATTGAAAGGGAAAGGCACATTATTATGAAAGAAAATCAGCTTTTTAAGCAGCAGCAGAGACATTCAAATCTTTTTCTTTGATTTGAAGTTTCTCAGCCTCATCTTTTGTCGGGTAGGAAGAGCAGTAGAGAATATCCTTCCTGAGAAGAATTGAACTGGTTGAAAACCATGCATTCCAGCCTTGGATAACAGTGAAAAAAGGCTTGGTGTTACTCTTGATTTCAAATGGTCTAAGCAAGCAAGCAAGCAAGCAAGCAAGCAAACAAGAAACCCCAGTGTCTTCAGCTTTAGGATTTATCCCATTTGACTTAGCATGAGGCTGATCACCGAGCTCTTTGTGAGAGCTCTCAAGAATGGGATGGAAATTGTTCCTAAGTGTTGATGATGTTTCTGCACGTAGCATGCTACCAAACAAAGGGAGATGTATATTCTTTATCTTGGAGGCTCACACCTTACAAATGGAGAACATAAAGAAAAGGCAGCAAAGATGACAGAGCGCTGCTAACGTGGTGGGGCTGAGGAACAGGGGGACGAGCAAAGAGGGTCATGGAAGGACTTTGGAAGTTTGAGTTCTGGAGAAGCACTGGAGGGAGATGGAGAGGAAAACATTCAAAAGCTGGGATTTGAAGACATAATTAGGGTAAAAGGAGAGGCAAAGGTTTCAGAAGGATATCAGGGAAGAAAGCAGGGAGGCCAAAAGTGCAACATTATGAAAGCAGTAGTGACCAAAGTCAAAGATAGTGGCTTTCCAGGAGCGGCTAAAGAGTGAATTTTTTTAACAAGATACAAGGAAAGGACATAACACACTTTAGTGAGCGCCTGGGCAGGAACGTGAAGACAAGACTGGAAGACAGCCTTTGCAATTGCTGGTGGTACTAGGGGAAAAGCAATAATGAAATTAGGAGAGAAAACTAGACAACGGACTATCCTCGGTGCCTGATGAGATTTCTCCATCTCAAGGTGAAAGCAGATATGGCAGGGTCTCTGTCCATAACTTCTCCCTGCTTTTTCTCAGCAGGATCACACTTTTGGTAATTTTTTTAGTTGTATCTGTGTGTTGGGCACTTTGCTGCTGAAGCCACTATAGCTCGAGCATTTATAAAGATATTTGCTCTCTGGTTGACCTTACAAGAAGCATATGTATGTGTTTCCCAACTTGAATACGTTCTGACTTGCATTTCAAATCCATGGGAGCGAGCTCTAATACGCAAGAATAATGGGAAAGAAATCGTTCTCATTTAAATGATCTGGTGCCCACCTGTGTGAATGAAATTCAACTGAGTGAAATTCTTTCCTTTGTGAGTTTTAATCCTTTCTGGGTTTGAGCTGCAAATCTATTCAGTGTATTCCTCTAAGATGAACAGTAAGATTGTATATGCCCCTCACGTAGTATATGTGAATCCTGGTCCATGCCTGAAACTTCTAGGCATCGCTACTGTGCAGAGAATAAATGAGATGATAACCTGGTGCCACTCAGGATAAAATCGGAGTTTCTCTTGTCCTCTCTAGCACTAGTGGTGCAGTTTAATTTTTACTAAATGAATGATCACCCTGTGCCTTAGTTTCCTCAGATGCACAGTAGAAGACTTTGCCCTCAGTCGAAAAACAAAGGCTTTTTATTTTCTTCCTCCACTCCTGATATTTATTCCTCAGAGTGTGTTTTACTCAGAAACCATCTCCCAAACAACCTCTATGGCAGGCTCTATTTACAAAACTGACCTTCCAGTACTGGGAAGAGTTGAAAAGGCTAAGGAAAAATAACATGAATAGCATTGTACCTATTGGGATTACAGAGAGGTGTAGCTAATTTTTGACCAGAGTTTGACCTGGCGTCTCTCCTTTCAACAAGGAGAGGACTCCTCCGTGTCTTTTCGGCGTCCTTTCTAGGGAACACAAACAACATGTCTTGCAGAAACAACACTTTAGGCACCTCTAAAATAATAAATTGTAAATTGGTTTTGGTGGTATTTGTATCTCAGTCTATTATTTGCAGAGAGAAATCAAATATATGTATTTTAATATTAACAATTAAGTAATTTTAATTAACATCAAGTAATATTGAATTTAACATTTAGTTAAGTTTAAAGTTTGGTTTAATTAATATTAAATAATATTAATGTTACTTTTAAATACTGGAAGAGACATTCAAAATAAATACAGGAAGCTGAGCAAAGAAGAACTTGGTGGTACAATGAAGAATGCAACGGTATGCATTTATTCATTCATCAGAGAATTAAATCACATCAAACAGCATGGCATGCAACTGCTTAACACCTCTCAATTTTTCCAAAAAACAGAAAGATTTCTGATAAACGAGACTTGCCAGCAAGAATTCTCACAACGTGTCCCAGGCACAGTAATACAGAGAGCATGATATAGGGGACCTGACTCATCCCAGAACTGCTCCTATTTACATATCGCTGGCTGAACATCTCACAGCGATGCTCTCACATGCAGCGCTTAAAAACTTGCCGTGGGCGCTAGGACTTCATTTGGCCGTGAAAATGCCAAGTGAATGAAAAGATACACTGTTCATGGGCAAAATTCTTTAATGAGAATAAAATCATCTGCAGGGGTTAAATAGTTGCCAAGGTATTTCCTGGGTAATAGTACAGTTGTTTGGTTATAGGCAATCCAATCTTCTCGGGAGATACCTTGACCTTCGTAAAATCAGCACCCCTGCTAAAGATAATCAATTAGCAGTAACGGTATCAGTGTATTTAGGCTACAGCTGCTCATACCTCCGAATCCGGACATCACCAGCAGATACACAAGGAAATATTGCATTTATGGAGCATAGACAATATAAGATTTTTGCTGCCAAACAAAGCAGAATTTTTCCTCTGTAATTTCAAATACACTTACATATCACCATATCATTTCTTAACACACACTTGTCATAATAAGTAATCCAAATATAAACAGTATTACAATTTATCACAGTATAAATCTACACTGAATGCTGAATGAATTAGCTACTTCCTTTAACAGTTTATAGGTAATGTTGGTTGGGAAGTGTGTCTGAAAGAATATTTGGTATCTCTAGTACCTGTAACATACTTGGGTGATATCTTTTAGCTATTAGCATTGGCATCAATTTACGTACAGAGGTACTGACATTTCAATGTCTATTTTTACATTTTCTAAAGTTACATGCAAAATGGAAAAACAAATTCAAAGAGCTACCTAAGGTGCACAAGGCTGCTTTGATCTGCCCACTGTTCCAGTGATGGGTTGCAGGATACATACATTACTCAGACAAAAAAAAAATTCATGTACTGCTCTGGATTGTCTCCAGTTGATGGTTTGTGGGCACAAAACCCATTTCTCTCATTTCCTTAGAATAATAAATTCCTTAAGCTCTTAACATCTTTCCTTACCTGAAAGGAGTCAGCATGTTGTGAACCTCCTCCAGGAGCCACCACAAAAAAGCAAATCGTATTTTCCCTCCCCAAAAGGCAGAAATAGTCTTTTACCTGTTCCGTTCACCCTGACGGATCCAAACACGAGCCACATCAAAAGGCACTTGAGCTCCATGGAACTTGTTCACATCTTTTCTCCGCAGCGCTGAGGATGATGAAGTTTCTCAGAAGCGAAGGGGTCGTGCCAGGCGAGCCGGCAAGGCTTCTACCGCATGGTTAGCCCTGTGGGGAAGATCTCCCTGTGTGCGTGGCAGGGACCGTGCTCGCTGGTCAGCAAAGCATTGCTTCACTGGCTGGCTCGGCTAGCGCAAAAAAAAGCTGCTCTCTGTTCAGGTATTAGTAGCTTTTATCCAGGAAATCATACTTAATGCTGTGTCGCATAGCGTGCCGTCGTATATAGGAAGTGGTTTGACACATCAGTTACCAACTCTGGAGCTGTTCCAGCTGTGCCCTTGTGGCCAAGAAGGCCAATGGTATCCTGGGGTGCATGAGGCAGAGTGTTGCCAGCAGGGCGAGGGAGGTGATCCTGCCCCTCTCCTCAGCCCTGGGGAGGCCTCACCTGGAGTCCTGTGTCCACTTCTGGGCTCCCCAGTCCAAGAGAGACATGGCACTCCTGGAGAGAGTCCAGCGGAGGGCTACCAAGATGATTAGAGGGCTGGAGCACCTCTCCTCTGAAGAAAGGCTGCGAGAGCTTGGCCTGTTCAGCCTGGAGAAGAGAAGACTGAGAGGCGATCTCATCAACGTGTACAAGTATCTGAAGGGGGGGTGTCAAGAGG